AGTGACTAAAATAAGTTAAAACTTTCAGGAATCATTTTAGAATAAATAATCACAACTTGTCTCTAGAATAGTCTAACTTTGAAATGCCGCAAAAATAAAATGGAAAAAAGAAAAAAAAAGAGACGTTCGCGGAAGAACTGAATTAACGTATATTGCTATTACAACTTAAAAGGCATTTAGCAATATCCGGTCCTACTTAAACAGAGCACAAAAAGGAAAAAATGTTATAGTTTACTGCTTGATGATTGCTATTGCATTAGCTACTAATCATGGCTTGAAAAGACAGTATTCTCTACTTTGAACGTTTAATGAGAGGTCTGAACGCATGGGTTACTCTTATCACACCATATCCGTTGACTTCCATCATTCGCTTGTACAAGTCCAGATCTGCGAAAGCATCACATAAGCAAGGTTCGTAAGCGCCTGCGTTATTCACCACCGCCCAGAATTCTATAAATATGTCACACTTACAGCAGCTTAATTAGCCGTTTTCTAAACTCTTCCAACCTTAATATTAATTGCTTAAAAACGGTAATATTAATTTTGAAGATTCATTATTACATATAGGCATTGAGAAATGCCGAGAATGAAATAACATAATCTGCGAAGAAAAAATTATGGCATCTGCTCGGATAAATTTTGTCAAAGCACCTAACCCTTTTTTAGTGTTTGAAGCTTTTTTTCAATAAATTCTTTAGTTTTATTGACACTCTCGTCCGATGTCACATCCATTTGAAATGCTTCAAGGTGTCCTTTCTTCCCTTTAAACTCCTCGATCAACTTGTCTGCAGACTAAATTTTTTAAGTTTAAAAAAGATAAAAGGTAGTAGCGTTTTATGCGAAACTACACCTCAAAAACTTCTCATCAAGCCAATGCGTAAAATGATCCGCTGCAAATCAATTGTTGAAAAGAAGCGGTTCGAGCTGTTTCAAGTAGAGTCTCTCTAATTAAAGACTGCTTTAACCATTCAGATGTTTTACTCTAAAAGGCTAGTTTCTTTGTACTCAAACTCGCTTATTTCTCATTTTTCGTGGTAAATTCGCCTATTTTTTATCATGAAATTATGCCTTAAATTCCAGAAAGCCAATAAATAAACGCAGTGATCTGTAGAATGTTTTGTTGCAACTACTTGTGACGTAAAACAAAAGAATTGTAAAATGACTAACTACTTACTACTTGACGATGACACCCAGCAAACACCGTCATTCCCTCATCCAAACATTTTCCAACAAATGCTTTTCCAAAACCTAAAACTGTTGTAGAATGAGGTGAGCAATTGACTCATGATGCTAACCTTTAAGAAATAATGACAGTGTTTATTCCTTTAAGTAGCAGGCCCTTAATTACATCAACAGACATATAAATGAATAGAAACAAAAAATGAATTTGTACGCTTCACACACATAGCTCCAAAATGTCCAATCTTTCCACTTTAAAAACATTTTACATTCTAAAACAAATAATGTCAAAGAGAGAACCAATTTAAGGATAAAAGTACTGTGTCGAATGTAACAGACCTGAACCAGATCCGGTGACCAATACAGCTCTTTTCTCAATGTTATCAACTGACAGTTTTGCAACGAAGAACCACCATAATAAATGAAGAAATATTACAAAAGATGCCAGAAGTATTAGCAACATCCTTAAAATATTTGAAAGAGAAGTAAAGATATGCAAAGTACCTGTCAGTGTCGTGGGTTTTAAACGAGCTCTGTAACTGTCAATAAGTTCTTTCTGGCTAATCGTTAATTTGACAAAAATTAGTAAATTTGACAAGTCGCAAACTGATGAAAAAATTGATAATTTCAGAAAATTAGTTATTTTTTTTAAGTAGTCAACGATGAAACAAAATGAACAAAAAAAAAAAGACTGCAAGGCAATTGACAACCTGTAACCATAAATAAAAAAAAAAATGCAGTCAGCAGAAATAATGATCAAATGACGTATTTAACCAGCAGAACAGTGCTTTTGACTAGTGTAATCAAGGTCATAAAGAAGTGTAATACTGACGGCAAAGAAAGTACGCGACTAGTTTTTGTTGCGGTAATTTAATTGTCATCAACTTTAGGTATTGTTTTACCAATATAACAATTCTTTTTAAAGCTTTCAGTTATCAAATGTTAAAACAAATTTCTTACTTTAATTGTGCAACATATTCGCTTCAGCTATCAGTAATGTTTGAAGATATCATTGGCTCACTGCAAAACGATGGCAAAGGATATAACGTTTGTGTACTCCAAGTTAACCCTCCTAATTTGAATACCTGCTGAACAGTACTTTTCCGAATTAGCAGCAAGAACAAAAGTAAACAAATAAAGTTATAAACATTGAATTAAAGTAAACATTTATAAAAGTCGTGCTCAAGCAAAAAGCGAAGAACGAATTATATATGGTATGCATTTTAAAGACGTTAAGGTACGCAATTAAAGATGATAACGAGTACACATATGACACAGATATTCTTGCTCATATCTGTGCTACTAAACTCGTTCTAAGTGCTCATTTATTATAGTTTTCATGTGAATGTTCTTAGAAATTGCGAGAGTACAGGTCCGTCCTGCAGAATCTTGAACGTCTTGAAGCGTGCTTGCTACCCTGCTCGATAGCATCTTCAAATGATTCGAGTGAAAGGGCTGCATACTCTAAAGCTGATTTTTTCATAGAAAGAACTGTTCAGACCAATATTAGTAAAGTAACCTTGCGAGCGCTCCTGTAATTTCAATTTCAGGCATACTGAAACGGAGCAGTAACGTTAGTAATACTGATAGTTCAAGAACTGTTCATTAATCTGTTTAAATGTTTCGTACAAATTTCTGACAGGGTGGGTATGACAGTATGGGTGACGCAACCGGACATAGCGCAGCCCTTTGAAAATGCACTGTACATCATATAAAACAGCGTCGCACTTCAAAAAACAACGCATCAAAAATGTCCCTTCAGGTTTCAATCTAAAACTTAACCTGAGGAAATGCAATTCTTAAAAGTCTTCTTTATATTGCTATAAACCCTTAGTTTCTTGTTTTTGGTTTTTTTTTTTTTTTTTTTTTTTTT